CTACAGATGCCCTTCTTCTGATCCCAGCAGTATCAATAAGCCGGAACTTCTGCAAAATGATGACCCAGGTATTCAGCTTCCAAAAGCAACTGGAATGCAAAGCAAACAGAGCTTGAATCAAGGCACATAGGCTATCAGTTATAATATAGGTATTTCTGAACCGAAGAAACCTGGCCATCAGGTCCAATAAATTCTGTATCAATTGCATCACGAGTGGTACCACTGATAGGCTCACAATTGTTCTATCCTCACCAACCAAAGCATTTAGAATGCTGCTTTTACCAACATTTGGTCGACCAACAATTGCAATAGAGGGGACATAATTCTCTTCCGCATCCATAATTTCTACATCCTACAATGAAATCAAGAAGCCACGTGCTTAGCGGGGAAAGCATATAACATTATCATTAAGAAACGTAATTAGAACAGATTCACAAAGGAAAAGTTAAAGACAAGAAGTTATACAATTTTTTTTAACAAAGAAGAACCATAAAGCCAAATTACCTCAATATTTTTAAGCCTGAACAAATAAGATCAAGAAGTTCCCCTGTTCCAGTCCCAGATAAAGCAGAAATAGGAATTGGAGAGAACCTGGTTTTGCAGTTGAACAGATTAATCCAAAGTTAAGCAGAAGGGTAATAAAAGAACTTTCCCAGGTCTAGTCAAGAAGAAACAGATAACTTGAAATAACAAACATCTCGGGATAAAAAGCACAATCGATAGCAGACTTTTTTCCAAGGTGGTAAAGTAGAAAAGAAAAAGGAAAAGGAAAAAGGAAAATGGAAAGTGGAAAGTGGAAAGAGGTATCAGGAGAGAAATAAAAAAAAACATAGAGAAAGCTAATCCATTAACATCCGAGCTAAGTTCTAATGCCATCAAAACCATAAGTACTTTGTCAATAACTCAAGGCATAACCAATATGCATTGAGTATGAAAAACAAAAATTCTCAGAGAAACAGAACTTGAGAATTACCCCAATGACCAAAACTCTGATGCTTGCATGACTCCTTTCCGTGGAGATTCACACTTATTCACTGCAAGCACAACATATTTACTTGAGTAGCTCTTTCGAAGCCAGTCTGCAATCTCCACATCAGCTGCTGTTAGACCAGCCTGTTCAGTATCATACAGACAACAATTTGGCAAGTTGATAACTCTCCAAAAGATATAGAAGAATATACAGTTCGTTTCATGTAACCAAATTAGATATCCGTCAAGATAAAGTACTATAAAGGGAGATCAATCCTTTAAAATGTTATGCAGATTATCCCACGGATAATTCTCACCTTATCCCATCAACAAAAATCTCAGCTTTCACAGCTTTAAACCAGATTCATAGAACACCAAGAACTGGCTGAGAGAATTCAAAATTTCCATTGTATTCCTAATGCCTGAACTTACCTTACATCTCAACATCTCACGTCATGCTGATGCATAAATATCCTAGATTTTGATTCCTAAGTTTTCCCTTCTAAGAGAATCTAATCCTAACATACAGGCAACCAACTCCCAAGACCATATGTTCATAACTTCTTTAAATTTTAATTTTAATCATAATCTTTAATGTTTTGCAAATATACATATACAAATATATAATATAAATAAAAACATTGTTGTCAAAGGCACTCAGGTCAATGCTTAGCACCTTCCTCGCTAGGTAAGAAGAGGTTGAGCAACCATTTTTAATTTGAAATTTTTTATGTTTTGCAAATATACACTTATACACATATATATAAATAATAAAAAGTGTTGTCAAAAGCACTCAAGGCAACAACCTAATTCAACTTAATTGTTATTCATTTCCTAGTTTATTTTTAAAACATTTGCTCATTAATTATTTAGCCACTCAATTACTCCAACAACCTATAATGTTAATTCAATGGTTAGTGCATTTATTACTTCAATAGACTGCAACTTTAAGTAGATTTAAGAATAAAATATCATTCCTTTTTCTATTTAACTTAAAATGATCCTATTTTTCTTTTTTTTGGATAAATCCTAAATCAATCAAAAATCTTATGAACAAGGAGATTCAAATGTGCTAGATACTTTTTCTCAACTTCTTTTAATTAATGTGTCAAATTTTAAAAAGAAAACAATGACAGCCAATGTAAGAAGACCGGAGTATACCTGCCCATCTACAAGGAATATAATGACAGATGCTTCTTCAACAGCAGCAGTAGCTTGCCGTTCAATCATAGATGGCATCTTGCAACAGCTGCCTCCCTGGAGCGTAACGAAATCCCATCCATACCAATAGTTGTTGAAATAGCTAAGTCTTCCATTAAGTTAGCCTGTGACTTTGACACATTTAGAACTCCTCCAGTATCAACCACCACAAATTCGTGATCTCCCCAGAAAGATCTACCATACAATCGATCCCGTGTAACCCCAGGTTCATCCACCACAATGGCCCTGTTTCCCTGTAACAAAATCCATGAAAGAGTTTGACATCGCTGGCAATCTGACACACCTAGTTACATGGGAAATTAAAGACAATATTAGTGGACTATACCCCACAAGGCGATTAAATAATGCTGATTACCAACATTTGGCCTTCCAACTATTGTAACTTTTGGAAGTAATAATCAGGAATCTGCAAAAGGATTTTAAAATTTTCAGTAGTGATGATAAAATTTTAGTATATCATTATAAGAAGAGTCCCCAGGTTATATCATAAAAGATATTAATTGAACTAAATCACAATAATCATTGGTTCAAAAAGCTATATTTAACAGATACTTCAGAAACGACGCAAAAGCTCATATACCCACACACTCAACTTTTCAATGTGTTTCCACCAGTTATTGATCCCATCTTCCAAAATTTTAAGTTACATCATCACGTAGCTGTGAAACATTTTGTCTGGAAAAACCAACTAAAAACACCTGACTAATACAACAATATGCTTGCCAGTAATATTAAAACAGAAACAAAACAATAAATTCATTGCACCAGTATTCAGGCTTTGACAGTATGTATAACATCGTCAAGTAGAATTCCGACATAGAACATGTTGCCAGGGTGCGGGTTTTTCGTAAGCACTGAATTTCCAAAAAAAACTTTAAAACAGTTCACTGATTAGAAAGGAACAAGAAACCCAAAGTGACAAAATAGAAAGAAAAAGGGAAATGAAGCAAAGATGATTAAAGTAATTCAGTTTTGCAAGTTACAACTACAAATATGGTTTCATTTTCAACAAAGCAGCTGCAATAGCCAAGAGGTTTAAAGTCACCTTCTTGGGGAAAACTATTTAGCACAGTAATTAGCATAATTAGGAGACTACAAAGATTAAAGATAGTAAGCTTTACTTACAGTTTTAGTTGCAGTTTTACGTCTCTTCTGCTTTCCACTAAACCCCTTAAGATCATCAATCTCTTCCTCTACGGGAAAAAATCGATAGGATAGCTTCGGGAAGAATTAAAATTAACAGAAAATCGAACACAAAATGTAGGAACAGTTGTATAATTTACTTATTGACTTGTTTTTAACCAAATAGAAAAACTTACTTTTAGCAACACTAAGAAAATTTTAAAATAGTAATAAAAAATAAAGGTAAATGAGAGAATAAATATGAGTAAAAAGAAAAAAAAAAGTAAAATCATCGGGAATTTACCAATGGTTAATTGGCGAGACAAGGAAGTGGAATATCGACGAACGGCTTCCTTGGCTTCGGATTCAAGAGCTTCCACGTCCAAATCATCGTCCTCATAAAATTCTTCTTCTTCCTCCTCCACCACCGCCGCCGTATCCATCGCTGTTTCTTCTTCCTCGTCGAGAAAATCCAGGAATTGGTCCGGGCGAGGAGGGGGTGAAGGGGCGGAGGTGCAGCGGCAGAGACGGGGGGAAGGGGCAGAAGAAAGTAGCAACGGAGGAGAGAAACTATTAGAGCGAATAGGGTGAAGAGGAAGAGAGGAGAATCTGGAAGCTGGAGGAAGAAGAATTAGAGTTTTAGCTAAGGAGGGGATTTGGGCACTACAAAAACACGACATTTGTAATTTTCTCTTCTTCCTTTCAAGCTGTTTCAGTATTGAGTGTTCCAAACAAAAAGAAGAAAGAAACAAAGAGATAGAGATGGCCGAATGGGAGGTTTTGGCGGTCGACAGAGGTTTATCCTGTTGAATCGGGTCGGGCTTTGGTTTTGGTTTCAAGTGGCTAAATTCTGATTTCAGTCCTTTCACTATACCTAAATTTGATATATGAGCTTTTTATTTTAATCCAACATAATTTAATCCCTTTGTTTTTTTAAGGTACAACTACCATCGTTGTATTAGTATGATTACAGTTAAAATTAGTAAGTACAATGTACAAAAAGTTAGGAATTACAACAAAATCTATATTCCGACTCAATCCAATTTAATAAAGTTATTTCTTTATAAAATTTAGATTTCATATTTAGATATTTTTAGTATCTATTAAAAAAGTTTATTAACCTATTGATAAAAACACACATAGATCTTGTAGACGTAATTATTTGAACCAGAATATTTAAAAAATAATAATATTCTCTCTTAGTATTAAGAATCATTCATCTTTAAAGGCCCACATTGAAGTAATTACAAAGTATCATTTTTATGTATAATTACAAAGGTATCATTCTAATAATATCTAAACATTTAAACTCAAATAATTTGTAGGCAAAACCCATAGTTGAATATAGAAATGAATGTATGGAATCACTTTAACCAAAGGTTACAAAAAAACACACACACACACAAAGACATCAAATATTGTAATGAAAGTATGGTTATAAACCTCTCACATGTCTTAACTACCCCCTCGAGTTAGTGCTTTTACGGTTTTACCCCCATTTTTCAAAAACAAAAATATAATAATCAACTGCCTTTATTTTTCTTTCAGCTGACGGTACCCTCATACGGCATCGTTGGGATGCTCATCTGTTCCTTCGAAACTTTCGGTTTCATCTGTAGAGGTTACCTCGCTTTCGTTTGAAAATTTGTTGTTATCATCCGTGGCATTAACTACAGTGTGTTTGTCCATCATCCCGGAGAGAGCAGGCTCGGAGACCATTCAAGGACATCACCGATTATGTTCGACATTTTCTTTTGAACCTGCAAGAGTGATATAAAAGCTTTAATAGATGTATCATGACAAATGACTCCAAGAATAGAACATATAAATGACAAAAGACCGAAAACGACCTTGTACATTCTACATCGAGCGTAGAGAAAATATATATATAGATGATAAGCCGGTTTCTCTTTGAGAATATCATCGAGCAATAATACAAAATTCTTAAGACCAAGAGCAGATTTGGAACTGACCTTGCTCTAGAAGCCTCATCAGGAGCATGATGCCTCAGCAGAAGTATGACCAACACGACCAAAATTGCATAGAACAGTCTTGCTGTCCATTTTGGTCGCTCCTCTTCATCTTTTTTGGGCCAAACACAGAATAGTTCTCGCAATGTTACTTCCTCGGCAAGGATGTTAGGGAAGAACCAAACACGCTTTCCTAGTACGATCCATGCAGCACCAAATATTGCAGCTCTCACTGCAAATTTTAAAATTTGAATGAAAATAAGAGGAAAAAGCAAACATGACTAAAACCGGTCATGCAGATATAACCTGTTACAAACTTGGACTACAATCAAGCAGTTCGTAACACTAATCGAATTCAACAGCAATAAGTGACTACATAAGGGTTTAGCGAGTATTAAGGTCTCTGGTTACGGATCGAGTCACCGGACAATTTATCAGATCAAGCGTCTAAGACAGATTCTTATTGGCAAGACGGACATAACAAATCCACAAACTAAACGGAAAGGGCATAGCCTACCTGAACAGACAGTAATCCAAGTGAGAGAGGATCAATGTAACTGCTTATATCAAGCGGCATTTAGAATGCTAGTCAACAACCCCAAAATCAAACTAAAAGTAATGTAACGTTTACTTAGCAAATAAAACCCCGAACGAGCAGGAAAATCCTGCTTGATAAGCTTGGAACTGTACCACACCATTTAGAATGCTAGTCAACAACCCCAAAATCAAACTAAAAACTGATTTCAGCCAGTACTATGTTTCTACTTTAACAAGGTAAAGAAAAGACGGTTAAGTTTTTAATGCCATTAATATGTTCCTAATATAGTAAAAGAAATAACCAAATTACATGCAGAAAAGGAAATTAATACAGAAAAACTTACGTAAAAGCAAGGAGAGAATAAGTACAAGAAGTCCCGCACTTGAGTAGAGTATTGGTAGTTTGCATCGATGTGGATATACAGGAAACAAGCAAATCGCAAGGGTCAACATAGGCCAGACAAATGAGAGAAGTGTTTGCCATAATGGTCGCCGTTTTTCAAATGTCAATGCGAAAAAGGCATCATTTTCAGAGAATATTTGTTCCTGCAAAAAGAGACAGAATATGGATAAATCTGGAAGAGGAAGAAGAAGAAGAAGAAAAAACATTAGTTTCAGGAAGACATTTGATTCTACAAAATAACTACAATATGGATAAGACAACAAAGGAAGCATACAGCGAATAGCAGTAGCTGATTGCATGAGAAAATGAAAGGCTGTTGAAATGCCAATGTTAGTATTCGAAAATACAATAATTAGAGACTTCCTTTCATCTGAAAACTGCACCAGAGCATCAAAGGTACTGAAATTGGGGGCGTGAGGTAGGGAAGGGACTGTCTAAAATGAACTTTGTAGGAAAGCAAACAACAGTGGATGGTAATAGATATAACACTATGTCACAGAAAAGCATAAAAAACCACATCAAACAAAGTTATTATCTTAATCAGAACTATCGTATTGACATAAATTTGATTGGAATTCATGATTTGTTTTGACATTTTAAAATTAACAATTTTAACTATGATATTCTCAAATTTTATATTATTTAGATATTTATTTTATTAGACCCTTCCTAAAAAATATAGTCTTTATGTTACTTTCTAAAACGAGGTCCTTAAAATATTTTATAATAAGGATTAATTTGTTAAATTTGAAAGAATGAGAGATCTACAATGTTTTTTTACATGAAAAACGATTAAATATACTATCAAAATCTTCATTTGTAACTTTTTCTACCACTTTTTCGATAACCAAATGAAAATTTTGTTTTCCCTTTGTATAAAATGTCGTTATAGCACAAAAATTGTATATTGACATTCTCGAACGGTATTTATGTGTGAGATCTCTAAATTTTAGGGCCATATGATGTGTCATAGGTCCTACTTATACATAGACAAAATTGTTTTTTTTTTATATTTAAATATACAACTCTAAACATTAGTTTATTGAATGATTAAAGATAAAATTCATAAATGCTTACTGTCGTGGTCGCTTAACTTGCAAACATAGATATTTAAAGTGTATCGTTTACATTTTTCTTAGGATAAAATTATGTTGTTTTTTCTTTCATTTTGACCCTAGCGGATACAAATATTAAAAATTTAATCGAAGTTTACAACCCTTTTTGAAATAAATTTTAAGATAAACTACCTTAGAGATTACTAAACTATAGAGCTGATTTAATTTTAACGACTGAACAGAAAAATTATTCAATTATGTCACTAAAATTGAAATTTAATTTCAACCATGCCACTGAATGTTATCTGTTTTAGCAATTCTAATAATTAAACTTGATTTAAATAAAATTGAAAGTCTAATAAGTTCATTGACAAACTTTTCTCAGTGGTCAAAATAGAATGGATCCACAGTTCAGTGGTCTTCAGGGTATTTTGCTCTAATATTGTCCAATCATTCCTATTAAACCTTCGTCTGCTTTCTTTGCTCACTCTTCCGTTTTCACCAATCCAAAACCCTAACGCTCAATCAAACAACAATGGCGACCCTCTCCCACGACGTTATCCACGATGTACTATGCCGTTTAGGGGTCAAAGATCTTCTACGCTTCAGGTGCGTTTCAAAGCCATGGTGCTCTTTGATCGACGACCCTGATTTCATCAAGTGTCACCTCTCCCACTCCCTCAAAACCAACACTAATCTCTCCCTCATTCTCCGAGACTGCAACCTCGTCTCTGTCGATTTTGATTCGCTCAAAACAGTCCAAAGACTCAAACACCCACTCGATGAATCGGATGAAGGCAATGGCACTGAAATATTGGGTTCTTCTTGCAATGGTTTGCTGGCTTTGTATAACGTGCATGAAGAAATAGGATTGTGGAATCCTTCGACGAGAAAATCCCAGATGCTGCCCGCCACCAAGATAGAGTTTCCACCGTGGGCTTTTTGTGTCCAGTTCATTGTATATGGATTAGGCTATGATCCGGTTTCTGACGACTACAAATTGGTTCGAATGGTCCAATTCTTTGGCAAAGATGATGACTCTTTCGATTCTGAAGTTAAAGTTTACAGCTTGAGTACCAACTGTTGGAGAAGGATTCAAGACTTTCCTTATTATCTTAAATATAAAAGATCATATGGAGTTCTTGCTAACAATGCTCTACATTGGGTGGTTTCTAAAAGGCCTGAATCTGATACACAGAGCTTTGTTATCGCTTTCGATCTCAGGACTGAAGAATATCGTGTGGTTGAATTGCCGAATGGTTTGGATATGAGCTTTCATATGAACTTGAAATCAATGGGAGGTTGTCTTTGTTTGATTGCAAACTATTGGGAAGTTCATGTTGTTGATATATGGATAATGAAAGAGTATGGGGTGAAAGAATCTTGGACTAAGTTGATATCAGTGAAGCATTCCAAGTCTTTTCCAAGTTTTGAGTTTGTGTTACCTTTGGCCTTCTCGAAAAATGGTGACAAAGTGCTATTGAACGTTGACGACAATAAATTTGTCTGGTATGACCTGAGAAGCAAAAGGGTTGACAAGGTAAGGATTGGAGGTCTTCCGAGATTATTCGAAGTCGAGATGTTGGTTGAGAGTCTCGTACCTCTTAATGGTAATCGTGCAATGACCAACAAGAAGCAGCAGAATGTTAAGAAGAAGAAGAAGCAGAGAAAGAACTCCAAGAGGTGGCATTTCTTTCCCTTTTAAAGAAATGTAATTAAAAGAATTTGGATTGGCTTTTTGCACCCTTCCATGCAATTTTGTATTGCATTTCTCTTTGTACAATGCAACATGAGTCCTTTATTTGTGTGTTCTTAGGGATGATTTCTTATCCAAGGGGTTTCACCTGGTGCTGTGAGCTGAGAAAGGATATGCGGTAATCAAATGTTAAACTATGCTTGATTCTTGTTTTCCATGCAAGTGACAGATACAAATATTTTTTTAGTTCATGTTTTTTTTATGTATGGATCATATCATCATATCTGCATAAGGATATGCGTGCGGGACACATGAAGAATCGGAACAACGTAATTTGATTGTAATTAGTCATAATTATTCCGAGAACTGGTCACATTAGATAAGATCAACAGGTTTCATAGCATCTTATAAACACTATTGTTAAGAGCATTACATCCTTTTTATTTTGTTTCGATTGATTTCCAGGTGATTGTCGGATACAAATATATTCGATTTTTTGTTCAGATATGCACAGGACTCATGAAGTAAAGTAGTAAACACTATTGTTAGAGCACTTATATACTTTTTATTTTGTTTCAATTGATTGCCATGGAAGGTCATGTGATTAGTTTGATTGATAATTAGTTCAACAGGTTTCACAATAGGAAAGTTGTTCTATACACTGCCAATGGAGTTAATAACTCCACAGGCAGGGTTGAATGGATGACATGCGACATCAAGGGTTTAACGTTTAGGGATTATAATTTTGAACATGTGGCAGAATTTAAACACTGCTTGCGGAATTAAAATATTGCACTAGTAGTGTATTGAATACTAGCCCTTCGCATTAACCTATAAACACTATTGTTAGAGCACTTGCATTCTTTGTTTATTTTGTTTCAATTTATTGTTTGCTCAGGTTCTGGTTCCGGAAGTGATAGAGAAAGTCAAAGAGCAACACTGGTTCTTGTGTTCGCCTTGTGAATGGTAGTTAGTTGATACACACATGGAGTAATATATGCAGGAACTATTTCTTGAATTCTATGAATGTAATTTACCGTTAATAGTTTGAGATTTGAATGACTATGGATTTCACTCGAGTTAGCTTTACTATTTTAGTGATAATTTTGATGTTTTTAGCCGATTCATTATTATAAACCGTTATGACCCGTTGCATGTTGGTCGGCAATGCGTCTAGTGCCAAACTGGTGCAGATCTTCAGGATCCTTTTTAAGTCAGTATGATGCTTTGTAAAACTTAAAGCACTGCATCGAACTGGCTTTGATTAACCATTTTTTTTTGTTCAAAGGCTAACCATAAGAGATTACGCATTGAACTTTGTATGGCTGTTGTAAGATTAAGCACCATGATCACATCGAGTCATATTTAAGTTTCTGATTACCTCAACGCCTCAAACAAAGAAGCGTGGATCTAAAGTAATAGATACCATATTGGAAGATGGAGAAAAGAAATAACCCTTGTAAAGTTTATGGTTACCTCGACACCTCAAATAATTCAAAGAAACAAAATCTTTTAAGACTAACATATGAGCTAATTGTTGCAAAAATAGACTGCAGATCATATTATTTTTTCCTAGGACTTACAATATCATTCACAAAAACCAAGAAATCAAACGTGGACGGAATCCTTAACACAGATGAATAAACAAACATGTGAAACTGAGTTCTGAATCATATTGCAGAGGAAAACTACTTAACTCTCGATACCGAGCTTGTGGTGCTTATTTAAGGCCATAGATGGTCTTGTGCAGTTTCAGAGAAGGAACTCCTAGATACGATAAGGACAGAAGCCTTATTGCAACATTAAGATGCTCGGTTGCACCAAACAGACAATCAATTATCTTGCGGAGCCTCAAATCTTGTTGGTGTATCGATGCCCATCATGCAGCAAAGGCCTGACACTAAAATTAAAAGCAACACGATTCCCTGGAAATCAAGTAGTGCAGCCATATTAGAAGCCCATATATGTCACAGCAGGGACACTTCTTACGCATAATACAAGGAATGAGATGCGAAGGACTGGAGAGACCAACATTGAAAGACATGAATATTCAAATTCTATAATCATATACAACACTAATAAAAATAAAAGCATACTGAATCCAAGAAAGGATTAGTTAGTACTGAAAGACGGTAATGTATTTCCAAATCCATATATAACCATATAATAGAAAAACACTGTTGTTAGATTAGAGGTGAGAGGAGAGTAGAGGGCAATGACTGTGGCTTACAACTAAAACTCCCTCTAGGAGCGACGATTTTAGCTTGCAAACCTCATCGCAGACTTGGGCAGTGGCTGAAGCATTCTTTGGGGTATCTTCAGCAAGAAACCTTTCAAGCTCTTTATAACCGGGATAGTGGATGGATTTAAAAGGATCGGAAACATAAAGAGCTGCATATTTTGCCCCAGATTGCTCAACTGAACTCATAACTTCATTCAAAATCTCACCTGAATATTTAAATAAAACAAGTGAATACATTTTTGAGTAACAAATCTTCAATAAAATAAGACACATCCTACTATAGCTTACTCTCAGGGAATGTTTGATCAAGCTCTTTCAGAGATTGAAAGCCTCCATGGCATAGAACAACCAAATCAGTCTCCCCCTTTGTTCTCTTTTCCATCCTTGAAACTAGATGATCCTGTTTATTTTTTACCAGAAAATTGTGAACGAGTTAACAAGATGGAGATGCTAAAATCATTTCCATACTACCACATTTTATATTGATGCATTTATATATAAAAAAATAAAAAAAAAATATTGAAGTTAATTTACATGAATCGAATGCAAGTTTGCAAGTTTGCAAGTTTGCAAGTTTCTGGAAATCTCCACTGTCTATAGAGCACGATTCCGAAAATGCAACATTACTCACTCCCAAACCATGCTCACAAGCTTCCTTAAAACTTGAAACCAACAAATTCTCCATTGTTTCCTCCTCAGAGGTAGCTACATATGGAAATGCCATTGAAAAGTTGGACCTGGTAAAAGACGCCTGTTCAACAGTATGAATCAGCAATGAAAATGCAGGGAAGTGAAATCTAATGTAATTAATACACTAACTAATAAATATATATAAAATAATCGTAACCAGGTGAAATGAAGTCACCTTAAGCAATTTCAAAAGAGCTGGATCCACATGTTTGTTTCCTGCAACATCTGAAGAGTGCAACTACAGAGAACAAAAGCAACATCATAAGTTGAGACCACATGAAAGCTAGTAAAGATTGCAGTTTATCACAATGAAACAGTGAACTAAATGCACCTACAACTTCTTCAAGAAAATAATAAATACCATTACCATCACAACTATATGTCCATCAAGGTCTGGACACAAGAACAACAGCAAGAATGTTGTAATCATTTTTCTATTACATCGTCCAGCATGCTAAATATTTTCAACTCATTGAATTAGACTTGAGATTTTGTGAAAAATAATGTAGCAAATCTGTTCCGCTGCAGTATAAAAAAAGCGAGATGGAGGTACATAGAGAGTTGGGGGGGGGGCGGCTTGGGGGGGGGGGCGGCTCTTGCCCCTCCCAAAATTTTTGGTCTAATAGCATTTTAGGTCCCTATCAGTTTAAAATTAAGTCAAATTAGTCTTTTGCCCTGCCCAATTTTTGAGATTAAATACTTAATGAATCACTATTATTTTGAACTTAGGTAATTTGCCCTCTGTTCCTGAAAAGAAGTAAAGGATTCACTCAGCAAATTACATCTATGGCTTAAAAGAAATAAAAAAATAATTGAGATAAAAAAAGCCAACCATTATTACTAGTATATTAGTTTTCCATGTTTTAGAAAGAGAGGTTGTTTAATAAAAATGATGCTCAACAGCGAAAGCTTAGAAATAATATACAGCAGTCCAAGAATATTACCTCTCTACCAACAAAAACAATGGCGAGATCAACATGGCGCTCGAGTTTCCTATCGGAGCACTAAAATCAAATCAGAAAACTCAATTAATCAGAAATCAACTAATTTAAAACCATGACAACAATACTGAAGGAAAAAGGAAGTTCGAAATACCAGTAAGTCAGACCAGCCCCCTTGAGAGAGAACAGAATTAGCTAGATCCTTCGGAGACATGGTCTGATAATGTACAGATTCCTTTCGTTCTTTGCTAGAGAAGCTGAAAAACACACAAATCAAAACATATTCGAAAGAAAATGAGATCCAAAATCCCAATTTACAAGAACCCTAAGCTATAATTTTTTATTACAAATTTAATCCAATGAAATAAAAATTAATACAAAATAATTTACCCCGGAAACCATAGAAAAGCAGGAACAGTGGATGCCGATGAAATCTGCGCCGCTACAAGGGAAACGACGACCATAATCGCCACCACAAATATCTTGAAACCCATCGCGATTAATCGTATTGTGTATTTCAAATCAAAATATTTCTATAATCTCCAACAAATGGATCCAACAACAATCTATTCAAAAATTCACTATTTATTCTATTTCCCCCCGATTATCTGAACCATTTGATCCGATCAATTCATATACGTGACGATGGAGAACCAGATTTCCTTTGGCACTTAAAAGGATAAAGTACACTATAGGGCACTGAACACTATTAAAATAATAGTTTGGATCACTTAACTTAAAAACAATTTTATAATAATAATTATTAAAATTACAAAATTATTATAAAATTTATCAAAATTTATCAAATCATTATAAATTTATTAAATTTACTTAATCAGACGCTATTCAAACTTAAATTTAAAACAATACTCAATGTCGTAAGGTCAAATTAAATTAAAACTCATCGAATTTAAGTTAAATAATCATCCTTAATTCTATTTAAATTTATGAAGTCGTTCATCAATTGATATTTTAAATTTACAATAACATGAAATATTTTAATATAAGTGACAATTGTATACACATAATATAAATCAGAATTTCCACATACTAATTGAGATTCTTTCATTGAATCAATTTTTTTATATTCCTTCTTATTCACAGTTACTATCATTCACAATACGATTCTTAACCTCATTATTAAAAGTAAGGAATAAATCTTGTTATCTCTTCTATTCTATATCATTCGTTTTAGTTCTAAAACTTTTTTAATTTTAAAATTGTAGTCCTAACTCAAATTATAATCGTAAAACATATTAAAATAAATCATGCTATTAATTATTGTATATATAAGTTATAGATTAAAAGTTAAAAAATTGATAAACGTAAAGATTAAAATAGACCACACTAGAATACAAGGTCTAAATTCGTAAGTTTCGAATAATACATGGATTAACAATGAAATATAACATAAAAAAATAAAAATATTTTTTTTATCGTTACGGTAAAAATATCATACAGATTTGCCGAGTCGGGTTAAAGTTTCCGGTTAAAACGGAGTAACGAGGTCACTCCACTTTGCTTAGCGCGCCTGTCATTCATATTATAGCAGGGCGCCAGGGCCATAGCCGTAAGCATAATCCATACAACCAGTTTTCGAGTTCCCCAACTCGGTCCGTGAATCGCCAGTGACAAATATGGCTCTAAATTCCGTGGTACTCACCAGTAGATTCCCTCACGACCATTTCACGAGTTTTTCTTCCGGAGTCCGTGCCTTTCTGCAGTCGGAACTAGGTTCCCCGTTAGAGAGTCCAAGGAATGTTCTTATCCTTGTCTTTCGAGTTCTAGTCATCGAGCTGTGTTTGGTGAACGGGTGCTTGCAAAACTGGAGCAGCTGGCTGCTGGGTTTGGATTTTCTACAGGTTTCAGCACTTTCGGGCGGTGGTTTCGGGTCCGGTGGAAGCGGTGGTTTTGGAGGCTCCGGTGATGCGAATTCTGGTGGAAAAGGTGAAGGCGCTGATGGTGATGGAGGAAGAAGCGGTTGATCCTTTCTTTCATGGTAACTAAAGACTTCCCTTTCTTTTTTTTCTTTTTTTTTAATTATGATATCGTTTTGCTATTCCCCCCTTCTCTGCTTCAAATTGATGGTTGTTTGGATAAGAATGTCATTAAAATGCTCATTATTGGTATATTGTTTGATTGTTCATAAAAAGTTTCGTTATTAGGTGCTTGATGCACATGTTTTCTATTGCTTAAACTCACAATGTTGTACATCTTGGATAGCTTGATTAATGATGAGTGTAAGCAAGCTGAGCTGCAGAACTGGAATGAAGTAGGTTACTGCTGCTGTTCTTGTGCCACGAATGTACTTGGTAACGTTGTAGAAGTGAAAAACAAAGAGGAGTGCTGGAGAACACAGTAAAAGAATTTAGTGAAACTCTAGTCATCTAGATCCTTTATTATTAAGAAATAGTTGTACCTAGTCTTGGAACAAAATTGGTGGCATTTCATGTTTCAATTATTCAGTAGGCATGGGCGATTGGCTCCCCTAGGAAGATGGTATCTATCCTCGCTACTGATAGGTTATCAAAAGTTGGTTTGATAAACATGCTTGTTTGGAAAAATGTATATATTTTAAGATTTTATTTATAGGGTTGAGAATTCTTCTACAATGGGATGTTATGGAGGTAGATGATTGGGAGGGAAGATGTTAATTAAAAGGTTACAAATTTGTATAATTAGTGAATTGCATCAGTAAACTTTTTCCTTTAGAAATTAGAATAATAGTTCCAGTCATCAGTGTTTAAAGCCATTATTGGGTTTGTCTATCTATATGCATACACGAGACTCTAGTTACCTATGTATTCGGTGTAGGACACTTGGCGAGTAGATTTTATATTCTCTGTTAGATTTGAGTTCTTAGAAGTGCTGCATAAAATTGAATAAACGTGAGGGCAAGAACCTTTTAAGCTTTATACATTTTCCTGGACGAGTTTATGCTAATTTCTTCAAGTACAATACTTTGTCATATACGAAGCATTTACAATGGTTTCTTAGAACATTTACTTCTTGTGAATGCTGGTTGAGCAGTGTGTTTTTGATGGTGTTATGGAACCTTACTAGAGGACAACTCATGTACAATTAAAAAAAAATCTCTTGCCGGACTAGCATGCTAAAGTTTTACTCTAGGTTGCCAAAGTATTTATTTGTTACTTTTTAGTTATGTGCTGTTGTACATTCCCCCCCCCCCCCCCCACACCCCCAAAAAAAAATGATTTGCTAAAGTTATTTAATAGGTACTTGGGTCTTTTAGCAAAGTATCCTGTGTTGACAAAAGCTGTGACATCTGCACTTTTGACGTTTGTTGGGGATTTGATTTGCCAAGTAAGTTTCTAAGTTCCATTTAGAATGAGAATGCACTATGGGTATTTTCCCCCGTTTTCCATGTGGTTTCTAATTTCACTTGATTTTCTTTTCTTTTTTTAACACAACAAAATGGTTGCTTTTATTTTTCAATTTAAAGTGTAGTATTTATGTAAAATAACATGTTATTGACAGGCAGGTTTAAGAGAATAGTTCTATCTATGTCAGAGCCGGTGTTGAATGAAATTTGGCAAAGTTGGTGATAAATTAAACAAGAACTTGAGCTTGGTTAGACATTGACGTGTCCATGCTATCCCAAGTTTCGATACAATTTTGCACATGATTTGCTTTGTGTGGTTGACAGAGCAAAAAACCTGTGAACATGCCATCATGGCATGACAATACTTTTGGTTGAGAGAGAAATATAAGTATCTTGGGAAGAATGTGGAGAGAGAAGCAAGAAACCAATGAGACCGAACAATAAAAAGAGAAGATAAAACAGGAAGGAAGAATAAAAACATTATGCCTGAACAATGCTGCTGTCTCACGACAAATTGTTTGAATGATGCACATAGAATAGAATGATGCTGTGCTTTATTGGTGAAGAGAAGTGTTGATGGAAGGCATGTTGCAGCCTCCATAGAGTGTTTAAGAGACATCTAAGCTGGTCCTAAAGCCCGAACTTGAATTTTTTATGTCCAGTGATGGGAAGTTTAGTTGGGAGCTTAAGTCGGTTTCTTTCTTTTCAGTCTGAGATTTTATGTTGGTCTTCATTTTATTTTCTGTTTTCACAAGTTTCAACTGGTTAAGGCTATCTTTTCAATTTCTGATTTTCTGACAATGAAATAATTCGAATCCAGGATCTTTCTTTGGTCTTTTCTTGTTTTTATTGTATCCTTTACCATTAGCATGGTAGTTTGCTATTTTTGAGATATAAATCTCTCTGTTTAAGCCATAATATTAATGTGATGCAAGGCATGACTTAACTTTGAAAATTTTGACTTCAGCTTGAAATTGACCGTGTGCCATCCCTAGACTTGAAGAGGACATTTATTTACTCTATTGGGTTTGGCATTAGTTGGTCCTGCATTGCACTTCTGGTAATTTTCATGATCAATTCTCTTTGTTCAAATCGGTTATATGATTATAGTTATTTTATTCACTTGCCTGCTTAATTCTTCAGTAAATCTCTAGTGGATTGTTGTTTTATTAATGGTTTTTTTAGTTTCTTAATTTTATTCTTTGCCTACTTTTAGAATCTGATGTCTTAATAAGTAAATCGACTTTTAATCTTTTATCCTTGGGATTACACATTTTGGGGCATCATATGCAAAGTTCTCTGCTATTTAAAATGATTTGTTTTTCATGTGAGATTGTTTTTCGTTTTTCTTATATTACACTTGGTAATTTTGCAGGTATTTGAATCTAAGTAACTTGGTAAAACTACCTGGAGCTTCAGGTGCTTTCTTGCGGCTTTCGCTGGATCAGGTGAACTATCGTTCGTGCTAATCTGCAGAAATTTTCTATAAGCTCAATTTGGTTTAAAAGTTTATGCTATTTTTATGCAACATATTGCAGTTCATTTTTGCTCCTATCTTTATTGGTGTTTTCTTATCTACGTTGACGACACTTGAAGGAAGGCTGTCGCAAGTTGTACCCAAACTTCAACAGGTAGTTTTAATTCATGGGCACGTATGCATTCCCTGATTTGCATTCTCTCTCTCATGCACATCGTTAAAACTTCACCTTGTAGGAGTGGTTTTCTGCTGTTGCTGCAAATTGGCAGCTATGAATACCTTTCCAATTTCTCAACTTTTGGTTTGTCCCGCAACAGTTGCAGGTGATTTTTTTGTTTAATTCATCAGAATTTAATATCATTCTCTTTTCTAACCCTGGCTGGATGATTTGGAATTTGGCATACCTGTTGCCTGGGCTCTTTTATCACGACTGTCTAATACAAACTTAATAGGGTTATAAAACTTGCAACCTAACGTGCATACCTCTTTTATCAAGATTTATGGTTTGACATTTTTGTAACTTGAATTTAACATGATTATTACGTTAAAGGTTTATAACATAACACCGACCTATTAAATTGCTTTCTGTTGTATTAATTGTGGTGGTATATCGTTCAGCTTAAGAACTTTTTAGGAGATTGTTACTTTTTCGAACAATTCGTGGATTATAGTCGTGTTAAATTGGTGTTGAT